GGGCTCTAGAGGTGGCCAGCCAGTAATTAGTTCTCAGAGCTTCAGCATGGTGGGCTCCAGGAACAGGTCTGCCCTCCTTTCCTTACCTCGGTTGGGATGGAGGCCTGAGATTGGATTCTAAATCCTGTCAGGGGTGCTTTTGTCTTTCTGAGTCATTTTTAATTACGTGTGTGTGTGTGTTGCGTGGCCTGTGTATGACAATACAGGTGCACACAGAGTCCGGTAGAAGGAATCGGATCCCGAGAGCTAGGGCACTGGGAACTCAGTTAAGGTCCCCTGGAAGAGCAGCAAGCCCTCTTACCTGCTGAGCCACCTTTCCAGCTCCATGGAAGGTGGTTTTCATTAACGGAGAGCTGGGCCTGTTTTCTCGAGACCCAGTCCAGAAGAGAAGTCACTGAGTCGTGGATCTCAGCTAAGAACGGGCTTCCCTGTAATCCCCTCAGTGCACGTCTTTAAGAAGGACTTCAATGTGTCTATGGAAGTCCCTAGGAAAGGGGCTTCTAGTGTCAGCAATAATGTGAGGACCACTGATTAACCAGATGGCCCGTGGTCATCTTGACAGATGCGACAGTCCCTGTAGACTGATGATGCTGAAGACCGCTGTAACCCTGATCCGCCCCACTCCTCTCTTTGACCTCCAGAGAAAAGGCATGTCCAGACTCCGTTTGTCATCTTGGCGATATGAGAGCCGCGATCGCTATTATCAAGGAAGGACCCGAGTTTTCAGAATGAGATGTGGACTTGTGACAGACACATGGCTGTGACCCTTCTGTTCTCACCGCTCACTTACCGCGAGGCAACTAAGCAGAAGGTCAACTGCTAATTACATACAGGTGCTTGCAAAGCCACAGAACTGGAGAACCAACCGTGTTGGGCCTTAGAGCAGTCAGAGTAGCACACCCCCCCCCCCCCAGGATATAGGAAAAGCAGGAGCCCATTGTACCGCTGGGAGTTCCAGGCAAAGTCAGGCCAGCGATGCGCTCCCTGCGCTCGCAGTGAGTTCGGATGAGGCAAGGAGCTGGGCATCTGGTGGTAAGCGTATGTTGTTTAAGTCTGGAGTCTACACACTGGGAAAGGCGCAGGTCCTATCCATCCTGGGAGGTCTCCTAGATCCACAGAAGCCAAGTAGACCTGCTTCACTTCAGTCCTGACCGCCAGTCAGTTTGTGAAAGAGGTCCTCATCGAGCGTTTCATTTTGGTCCTTGGATCGCGTGGACAGGAAAATGTAGCCCCCGATGTACTCGTGCACAATCTTGCAATCTGCACTTAGGCAGGTGAATGCGATGGAGACATTTTGGTCAAACTCGATTGCCACCTGGAAAAGTAAGCCACGAATAACCTTAAATCCTGACAAGGAAGACCAAGAAAGCGGCTGTTACCCTGGAGACAGTCCCCAAAACACTACGCAGAAAACGGGCTTTCTGAAGGATGCCTTGCCTCTTTGCGCCCCCTTGTGGTATTAACTCTGATGCGCGCCTTTGCTCTTTTAGAGGTAAGAAAGTCCCAGTCTCTCTGTGTGGAGGGGAAAGAAGCATTGTGGACTCTTTTTTTGTTGTTTGTTCATTTGCTTTTTAGAGACAGGGTTTCTCTGTGTAGCCTGGAACTCACTCTGTAGACTAGGCTAGCCTCAAACTCAGAAATCTGCTTGCCTCTGCCTTCCGAATGCTGGGATGAAGGGTGTGCGCTAGCTAGCTTTTAACCACCGCTGGCTAGCTTTGTGGACGCTCTAAGATGAGGTCTCACTGTGTGTAGCCTAGGCTGGAAGTCCTGAACTTGCAGCGATCCTCCAGTCTCAGCCTCCTGAGTTCTAGGATTACAGGTGTGAGCCGCCGTTGTGGAGTGCAGACTCTTTAACGGAGAACAGAAGGCCTGCCTTAGTTGTCCAGCAGCGGCTGCCCGTTAGCCTTTCCTCCACGGACGTTATAAGTTCTAAAACTAGAAGACGTAGAGAATGGCCCATTCCCACCCTGGGAATTCCCCACAGAACTTTAAAAACGAATGACGCTCAGTTCCTGCTCCTGGGCAGTAATATTAAAATGCTTTAAGATCTAGTTTCTGACATCCATTCTACGCATGCGTGACCAGGCAGATAATCTTGCTGAGGGGAATCCAGCATTCTGAAAAGTAGTGTGGGTCTCTCACTGCTCTGTCACGCTGCTGGTTCTCACTTAGGACAATGAGACTGGAAAAGGAGCAACGGAAGATCGAGTCTTATGGGTCTATTTTGGTGTGTGTTGAGGTGTGTGTTGGTTATGTGCGTGCCCCTGTGTGCACCCCGTGGAGGCCAGAGGACAGGGTCAGGTGCTTTCCTCTATTATCTCTACTATCCCTTTAAGACGGGGTCCCTCGTGGAACAAAAGCTCCATGTTTGAGCTAGCTTGGCTGTGCAGCAAGCTCCTGGGATGTCCTGACTTCACCCCTCAATGCTGGGGTTTTGTGCGTTTATAGTCAGCCTAATGGTTTCCATGGATGCTCAAGATTGAAACCCAGGTCCCTTGTGCATGTATAACATGCACTCTTAACCACTGAGCCACCCCACCATCCCCAAGACGGACTTTTATATCAGCAACAGCAAACTCTTCTGCATCATCAGCAGGATTCTAAGGCACTTCTAGCTTTATCTAGAATTTTCTATGATGTATGCTTGGCATTGGCCTAAATATAGTTTCTAGGATGTAAAGTGATGGCAGCCACTACACAGCTGTGGGCTCAAGAGCTCATCTTATGAGACAAGGCTTTTTGGCCATCTCTGGGTATCTCTATTGCTTTCAGTAGGCAACTGAGCTGCTGGGTCCACAGGCAGTCCTAGCTCTTGGCAGTTTTTTTTTTTTAAAGTTTTCTTTATTATTTATTATGTATACAGTATTCTGTCTGCATGTACACCTGCAGGCCAGAAGAGGGCATCAGATCTCATTACAGATGGTTGTGAGCCACCGTGTGGTTGCTGGGAATTGAACTCAGGACCTTCTTTTGAACTAACTGTTCAAAAGAACAGTTAGTGATTTTAACCTCTGAGCAATCTCTCCAGGCCTAGTGGAGGCTTTTTCGGCTTTGTTTTGTGTAGGGATTCATCTAAGGTGGTTTCTGCTAAGCAAAGATTGTGCTCAACCATATATAATCCTAGGGTGAGTTTATGAAAGTGGAACGAACTGTACAGCAATTTTACAATCTGCCTGCAGGAGAAGTCTTCACAGAGCTACGTCAGTTGGCAGTGTTAAGTGAATAACTTTGGGCCTAGATTTGTTAGGAGATGACTCAGAAATGTATGGTAGCGTTTCAATAGGCTGTTACCACATGTTTCTGGCTCATGAGTTCTCAATGCAAAGGCAACTTAAAGAAACAGAGTAGTGAGAATCTCCGAGAATGTATGTTTGTGGGTCAGCCTGTATTATCGGAAGCTCCCGCCTTACCTGCCGGATCTCCCAGTTGACGTTCCACTGCTTCATGTTGGCGAATCTCCACGTTGTAACCGGAATCCCCGTGACGGCATCGATTCTAATCAACCTGTTGTAGGAAACTCCCAGAATGTCATCTTTCTTGCTCCCTTTAAATCTGGAAACGACAGTATTAAGAGAGCAACTGTTACTCATACGTAACTTCTTTAAAATAACTTCTCATTGTTGTTTGTACACGTGAGGTATATGTGTGGGTGCAGAGCACACGTGTGAAGGTCAGAGGACAACTTTCTGGAGTCCCTTCTGTCCTTCTACCTTTATGTGGGTTCCAGGGAACTCAGGCCACCAGGCCTGTACAGCGTTTACCTGCTGGGCCAGCTCTCTGCCCCCACATACAGTTTCTCAAAGGTGACCTCATGACATTTCTGAATTATCTCAGAAGAAAAGACAGTAAGCAATCTGCATCTAGAGGAGGCCACTTTAGCTGACGCTCAGTTCCCGCTCCTGGGCAGTAATATTAAAATACTTTAAGATGTTAGATCTACTTTCTGACCTTCATTCTATGCATGTGTGCCCAGATGGTTAATATTGATGAGGGGAATCCAGCATTCTGAAAAGCAGCATGGGTCTCTCACTGCTCTGTCTATGGACACATTTTGGAGAACCATACTTTATACGCTAGACAGAGTCATTGTACCAGTGCAGATTACCGATGTCGGTGTCCCTGACTATCGGGCTGAACATGGACAAATTACGTAACTCCGTTTTCTCATCTGTAAACTACAAGAAGGTAATAATGGATAAGACACACACTAGACATTCAGAACCAGAATGATCTTCGGTGATCCACAGGAGCAGTGGCTTTTCTGGAAAGGCTGGGGGACACGATAGATCTGTTTGCTAGGGCATCTGTCTGGAAACCCAAAACTCTATAAAGCCACACATGGGTCACACCATGAGACACATAGGGGAGAGAAAGGACATGGAGGGAGGTCGCAGGTGCACAGACGCAGGAGCTGAGATTCTCCTTTTGGTTTGGCACAGGTGGTTAGCCTAAAAGAACAAAACTTCTTTATAAAATCTCAACATTTCCTTCCCTACATGTAGCTGAGTTTCAGGGAGGGTTGACTTCACTGAGCAGAAGGTATGGAAGAGTCTCAAGGGCAGCCAGAGTACTGGGGCCCTTTGTGAAACGGAAACACGCTAAAACAAGAAGAACTTGACATTCTGAGAACAGAGTAGGCTTCCAGGAAGCCTTCGATGGCTGAAGGGAAAGTGAAAGGCACGCAGATCCTGGAATTACCTGACCAGGTAGTAGGTGAGGCCAAACTCCGGTAAGGACTGCCATGCCTGGATGAACTGCAGTTTGGCTTCCACCAGAGGCATCTGGGCCACGTTATGGTGAGCTTCCAGGATCCGGGCTGCCAGCTAAGCAAAAACGGGAGGCGTCAGACCGGCTTCACACTTGCTGATTGCTTTCTAATCATTCGCCTGGCTCTAGATCCCCAGTGAGAGCGGAAAGTACGGGGCTCCACTGAACTCTACGCAGGTGGCCCATCCTATCAATTCTAACTAGGTAGTTAATTTGCTTTCTCCCTTTTGCAGGGTTGTGAAAGCCATTGAGTAGGAGGCTCAAGCTCAGTCAACACACACACCCTTCTAAGGTTTGTGCATCTGGCTCTCTCTTTTCCTTGTGATTCCACTGGAATAGGTTCACCTGTGCAACCTCTAACCTACTCTATGGGAGCATACTTTTGTTCTTAATGGTTTTATCCTTAATTAAGTTAAACTCCGAACTATTACTATATTCAGTCAGCAGTAAAATAATCTCTAACAAAATCAACAGTAATTCTGCCCCATCATCTACTTCTCAGGGCACTGTCAAATTTCTCCCGTAGCCTAATTTTCATGATGATGGCCTTAATTGAATGGAGTTCCTCCTTTTATTTTAGAGTGTTAATTCCTGTATACAAACAACCAAGCAGGTGAGAACCTGTTTAGACTTGTGCTTTTTTGCACAGCGAGGCGATACTAGACATTCCGGGTTCATATCCATGCTTTCGACACTGGAATCCACCGGAAGCGATGTATTCCGGTTTTTCATCTTCAGAAACGAAAGGATGCTGAAGACCTCTGGCTGATAGGAGCTGTCTGCCATGGTTTTACCCTTTGATGCCAGGACACAGGCTGCCATCCACCGGGCATATTGATCCTCCTGAAACAAAGGTAGAGAGGGCTTAGAAGCAAGTTCACCAGGGGAGCTACCTTGTTGTCACAGACCAGCAGAGACTGGCTCTGTAGTTGATCTTAGCCAAAGGGGTGAGAGGCAACAGAGGCCTTGGGCTACGATACAAAACTATTGTTCTCAATCAAGGAAAGATGTGACGCGGCACACGCTCTGAGTGACCGCCACCCACTGAGGGGAACACTCAGTAAGAGCTTTCAAAATGTGTTCTTTTTTTTTTTTTGCACCTGGAACTTTGTGTGCAAAAATGATGCAAGGAGACAAAGAAGTCTGAGCAGTGCAGATAAACGAAGCCCCAAATTTCCCAAGAACTTCCTAAGCACTATTTCTGCCTTCATAACATGGTGACATACACAATGAAGAACATCCCTCTCCAGCCTTATGTATTATTTGTATCCCCATCTATCCTAGGTAAAGATTCTAACTCTAAGGAGGCAATCAGGGCCTTGGACGGGATTGGAACCAGTTAGTGGTAGTTTCTATTACTTTTCAATGCTTGTACCAGGCATTCTGAGACCCAGAAGGAAGTCAGCTCAGACTGAAACAAGGAGCCAAACTTAGGTAGACCTGTAGTTCAGTAAGATGCAGCCAGCTACTATCAGCCTGGAACATCAGACTCCCCCCAATGGACATTCAAACGCTTTCAGAACATTGGGGCAACACTACTTACCTATTACCTCTAGGGGGCTGCTCTTTCCTGCAGTTCTATAGAGGAGCCTTCGATTTTGCCGTGAGGTAAAAACATGGTTCACAACCATTCTTTTTCCCTTTTTAGCCTATGTGTAGGCAATGTATGTTCTGACCATGCCTGAGGTAGGTTTAGCTGGGATGTTTGTAGGTTAGGTGTTTAAAGTGCAATTTTGACTGAACAGTAATTTTAATTTGTGATGTGTTTATGGGATTGAGTCCATTATATGTACATCAACAAGCATCTGTGTGTTTTGCTCTTAGGATTCAATTTTTTTTTACGTATTCATTTATTGTGTGTGTGTGTGTGTGTGTGTGTGTGTGTGTGAGGGGTGGGTACATGTGTATCCTGGTGTATGAGCGGAGGAGATCAAAAGACGACCTAGGGGAGTCAGCATTTTCCTTCCGCTGTTGAGTCCTGGGGATCGAACTCAGATCGTCCCGTTTGGCAGCAGGCGCCTTTCCTCACTGAGCCATCTCGCCAACCCCTGCTCCCTGTCTTAATCCAGAGGAACCGATGAGATTCCGTGGCTGTACTTACGTGGTCACACCTCAAATACACTTCGTTCATCCCATCGGCGACGGGGATTAGTAACTTGATTCCGAATTTTCTCCCGGCCACATTCACATCTGGTGCAATCTCACAGCCTGACGAACAAAAAGCAGGGGGAAACTGAGGGCTGGGAAATCTGTTGTAATAAATACTCACGCATATCTGCAGCAAAGACATGACCATAAACCAAAGCCAGAGGAGCGGCTGACAACAGTAATTTAAGGAACCCTAAATAGGTTTATAAACAACATGATTTTATTATTTTCTTTAAAAATCAATTGAATCCAATCCATTTTAGGATGATATTGGCTGTCTT